ATTAAACCATTTAATTATTCTTACTCATCTCTGTTGTTTCTTCAAACTCTACCTTACTCGGTGAACGATCCATTAGGTTCCTTTTAGCGAGGCAGTGGGCGATTAAAAAACTCTTTCTAATCGATTGTGAATTGAAACTTACTTTCAATTCTCCCGTTAGTGATTATACACGTTTAGGGCTTCCACAAACCATGGTTGACGCCTAGCAGCATGTCATGGTTACCCAAGCTAATCAGAAGAGGTGGAGAACCTATTCAGTTTTAGGATTACAAATGCAATACGGTCTTTCTCTAATACAATACTCTTGACCATATTGTTTGGTTTGATAGTTTATTCATGTCTTCTATCCAATGTGAATCTTGTACTTATATGATTACCTTGAATGTGATCTGAAACGCATTCCAACATCTCATTCATACTCTGCCCAGAGATTCTAAATCATATCATAGAATATTCTCCCTCAAACAGTTTGAAGGTTAGAGATCCCTTGTTGCGCATTCACTTGCCTCCATGGCTAAGTGGCTTAACCCCGACGATGTCGTGGACACCCTGATAGAGTGACTTTGACATAATCAAAGATCAAGTACCTAACCACAAGACAACTGTGATGCCTCAGGTCAAAAGACTACTTTGCATTATCCCAACCATGAGTTCTCATGTGACATGAATATGAGAACTCCTCGTTGATCGTGTTCAGTGAACTCATTCTCTATTGAGCACCTACATGCTTGTCTTGGTGTCACTCACACCAATGACTCGAGACTAGTCACTCTCCCTGAGAGAAGACACAGCACGTACTGATCTTAACGGACTGTCAATGCCCAATTGGCAATCCTATGATCAGGAACGTTTAGGATGTGTCTACGAAAGAATGGTCTCATGAATCTAACTTCTTTAGATCGCATTCTCCCAATCACATATTCCTTGGACTTATCGTTTAAGCATATAACATTTATATGAGATGGCTCAAACAATAATGTTTGCCCTTAATATTAAACTAGATTAGTTTAACATGTGAAATGTCCATAAAGTATCATCATATGATTGGTTTTAGGGCACATTTCCAACAAGTTATTTGATGCTGGTGTTTAGTTTGAAGTTCTTTTGGTTGTTACTTGTTATCTAATGATATTTTGCAAAAGTGATGATAAGTTTTGTTGATTGATAATCAATGTGTTTTAAAATTTGCTTCAATTGTTGTTATATGTTTTGCTTTATGGCATTAATACTTATCCAAAAATAAATTTCTTGATTTTTTTTTTGAATACTTTGAAAAAGGATCTTATATATAATTCTTCATAAGATCTCTAGAATCTTAAAGATGGTCCTATCCATCATCTCTATAAAAAAAGTTAATTTCATAACTCGGTTCGTATGTGTAATTGGAATGAAAAAGGTATTCCACAAAATCACAAGACAATATCACTAATTTGTATTTTTTTTCTTCTTATACATGAAACATTGGCCTTGTAACATTATATGAAAAAAATTGGTGTCCCAAGCTTTTCATTTGGGATCTACACGGGCATCATGCCAGGAACATATGGAACCCCACTGGGCTTCAGCCAATCAACACCTAGAAACAACTTAGCAGGGGTGAAAGCCGCGACTTTATCAGAAGTAAGCGCCTTGACGGTCGGCCATTTGACCCTTTTGGTCATGTCAGCCCTAGGACCCCGGTTGCCGTACTCACCATAGAAGCATTTTTGGTTGGTTTTTTTACCAACCCATTCTGACCACCCTTCAGGTACAATGGCTTCGTCAATGGATGACTGCATCACAATCACCCTTGCAAAGTCTTTCCATGGCCTCCCCAAATATGCCTTGCTCTTTTCCTTCACATTCATATAGTCCGGCTCACCGGTGATAGTGCAGTTTTGGAGGAACATGCCGGTGATCTCGTTGTGGTCGGTCCTGCCTTGTGCTGTCACCATGCAAGACTGTCCTTCCGCTGGCTTTCTCACCATCATCTTGCAGTTTTGGAAAACAGCCACTCCATCGCCGAAGATGAAGTCTATGGTGCCAGTGATGGTGCAGTCGCGGTAGAATTGGCGGTACGCTTCGGTGCAGAGGGTGTCTTGGAATCCGTCCATGTGGCAGTTGTAGAAGATGGAGAAGTCGGATTGCACACGCAATGCCAAAGCTTGGTGCTTTATGTGTCCTGCTGTGTTCTCGAACCCTATTCCCTTGGCAATGAAATAGTTTCCAAGTGCGGCTGTAGGAACGAAGTGAAAAAAGAGGGTGAGAAAATGAGGTAGAGTTAGAATGCATAGCTAATCACAATTCAACCCCTTCGACTCTAAAGTAACCAATATAAATTAATTAATGTGACAACTAGGCCGGTTACTAAATACCTGTTTGGTATACTATTAAAATATTTTCATCATTTTTCAAAACATTTCTTAAGAACGTCTCTTAAAGATAATTTTTTTTAACACTCAAAAACTGGTTTGGTATGAGAATTTTCTTAAATCTTAAAATTTAAACTGGACAAAGAAATCTAAAGAGAAGGGGTCATAGAAGAGGGAGAAAGAGGAGAGAGGTGGAAAGAAAGAAAGAAAGGATCAGAGAAGAGAGATGATCGGAGAAGAAAAAGATTAGGAGGGGAGAGAAAGAAGAGAGAAGAGAAGAAGAGAGAGAATGAAGTGAGAAGGAAGGAAAGAGAATGAAGAAGAAGAGCGAAAGAATGAGAAGATAGAGAAGAAAAAGAGAGGAGAGGAAGAATGAAAAAGAGAGAAATCGATTTGGAGTGAGAGATGAGGGATGAGAGAGAAAACAAAGGATTGGGTTTTAAGTTTAAAAACTCTAAAACTTACTTTTTGTGTTTTTAGATAATAGTCTATTTTCTTAAGTTGATCTTGAGTTCAATTCTTGAAAATAGTCTAACCAAACAAGTTTTTAAGACTTGAACTTAAAAAACGTTTTTGAGTTTAAAAAGTTAAATTCAAGTAGAGTACCAAACAAGTCTAATTATCTTTGTAATTTTGTCCCACTGCTGTATGCTATTGGCTATTGTCTGAATTTTTTTTATTTTTTTGGTACTGCAACATCGTTTGTGAACAATTTTGTGCATGAATTTTCCCCCAAAAAAATTCGGTGCATGAATATGTTAAGCGTTACGTACCAAAGGTTGCGGTGTTCTCTGTAGAGACACCATCCGCCTTGTTCAAGCCTCCGCTGATCCTGGTCTTGGTTGGGCCGTCACCAATCATCACAACATTGGTCATTTGCTTGTTAACGACGACAATCTCTTTGTACACTCCCCCCTTAATATAAATCACAAAGGTCTTCTTGCTATTCGGTGGGACCTCCTTCAAGGCCTCGTTGATGGTCTTGTACTTGCCAGTCCCATCTTGAGCCACAACCAGGTCGGGCTTCAGGCTCTCCGGAGTGGCAGTCAAGAGATCAAGCTTGCGATCACTCATCCACCCTGGCACTGTCTTATCATGCCACTTTTTCGGGCCGCCATTTGACGACGACAGGAGGCGGCGGTGAGAGTTCAAGTGAAGGGATCCGACGAGACCAGAGATTTCGGAGACCATGGCAAGTCCATTGCTGGTGAGTTCTTGCGCTGTCTTCAAAAAGCCCTTCATTTTCTCACCGGCCTCACCCTTGGTGTCCTTAAACGCGTCAAGGCAGGTTGCCTGGTGATTGACGGCGGCGCTCAGCCACACCTTGAGATCTTCAAGGTAGTCATTGGTCTTGTTAGGATCGAATGACCCCATCTTATCCACCGCACCGTGGAGATCCTCAACTGCGGTGTCCAACAGTTGCTTGCACAAGTCCAAAGCCTGGCTGGCCATTGGATCCTTGGCAAGCTCTTTCAAGGTGTCCGAGTTCTTGATCGCCTCGTTAACTTCGTCTGCTGCCACCTGGAAGCCGGCCTTGATCAGGTCCTTGGCGTCCGTGCTGTCACCAGCCACCTTCTCGAGGCTGCTCTGGCAGGTTTCTTTGTAGGTGGTGGGCTGGCATATGGTCTCGATGGCCTTTTTCGACTTGCCAACCTTTGGAGCCTTCTTGTTGCCGCCTTTTTTGGCCATTTTGACACCCACTATCACCGCCACTAGCATCGCCACCAGAAGTACAACCGATACGATGATGACGGCTATCTTCTTCTTCTTTGCTTGACTAGCTGCCATCTTGAGTGATTTAAATTAAAATAATACAAAAAAAAAAAAAAAAAGAGAAAAGAAAACAGCGCTAGTAACAGGTGTGATCGAGAAAGAAAAATAATCAATTGAAGCAGAAAGGTGTGTGTTTCTTTCTTTTTTGATGAATTTTTCTTCTTTCTCCGGTGAGCTACAGAGCGCTGCCGGGGCTTCTCTTGTTGGAGGGTCTGGTGCCCCTTTGGCTCTGGTCTGGTTTGGAATGGTGGGATGGTGATGGAATTTATAGGGAGCCCTAGACCACAAATTTCTGAGCGCAAGTTATTTCTGTTAGGAAATGTTAAGGTGCATGGGAGGTCGCTGATCAGTCTCCAGTCCAGACAAAATTAATGGTCGTTAATCATGCTTTCTAATATTGGATTATGCCCAAATTAGGGTAACTTAACTTTGTAATGACTAATTGGTGTCTAACTATGTAGTCTGAGTTCGTGATCCACTTTTTTCTCAGATTAATGAGTGGTAATATTTAACTCCGCATCTCCATTAATCGTGCACTGCCGTAGTGTTACCAGAAAATTTCATTTAGCTAGCTAGTTAATACATAAAGTTGGGACATGTAATTCGATAAAATTAACACGTACGCGTTTTGTTCAGGTATTTGAGATTTTGATTAACTTGCGTAATTAAGTTTAGCAAATACTCTAGCTACCTTTTGTACGTATAATTTATCTTCCAAAGATGAGTATCGACTTGAAAAGGAATACCAAAGACCTCTCACTTACCATTAATAAATTGTGTTTACCTTTACCTTTCTTGATATACAGATGATTCTTTTACATGCTTTGCGAAAAATGGAAATGATCTTGTAGGTGTAGATGATGCTGTTTTATCGACTGGTGAAAGTAAATTCATAACATTTACTTCAATAGGAGAAATAGTACTCGTTATTGGACGACATACAAAAAGTGAATAAGTAGCTGGATGAAGATTATTACTCCTAAACATGTAAAAAGGAGTACATTATTGATAATATTTATCAACTGTAAGTTTGAACAGTATGCCTATTGGGGAAAAGCGTTTTCGGGCGAAGCACGCGACTTGCACGCACTCGACTATGAAAGGAGAAAGGTTCTTGTTTTGTTGAAAGTTTGGTCTGAAAGATTCAGAGTTTGGCTCTCCGTAGTTCTAACTTGGCGATAGTACCCAAGTGGACTTCATCTGGACCATCTGCGATTCTCAATGTTCTTGCCGTGGCCCAAAGATGTGCCAGACAAGTGTCGGAAGACAAGCCAGCGCCACCGTGCACTTGCATTGCCATGTCGAGCACCATTAGCGCCATGTTTGGGGCTGCTACCTGCTCCAAATGACACAAATTTAGAAAGAAGTACATATTCGGTGTATATACACGCATTCTGATTGAGAGTTAAAAGAACACTACACCAAACTCTTGCCCCACACCCTGTTAAGATTCTACAAACTGTACGTACCTTTGCCATTGCTATAGTTCCTCGGGCCTTTTTGTTTCCAAGTCTATCAAGCTGGTCAGCTGCCTCCAGAACCAACAATCTGGCCTTCTCTAGCTCAATTCGACACTGAAAGACAGAAAGCGGATTAAGAACGAGTGCCAACATTCTTATAACAAGTGTCCAAGAGATGAATCTAAAAATTCAAATTGGATCACTTCTTAAATCATTTAAATGGCTGGAAAGACTTGAAGTCTGATTTGATCTGTGTTGCATGATTAGTCTCTCTTTGTAGAAACAAAAGTTTCTCAGGTACGCTATTAAAGGGGGCAAAATCATCATTACCTTTGCAATATCTGAAAGAAATGAGCCTTGTTCAGCAATCAACTTCCCGAAAACTTTTCTACTAAGAGCCCTTTGAGCCATTAGCTGCATGCCACGCTCGGCAGCTCCTATCAGCCTCATGCAATGGTGTAACCTTCCTGGGCCTAGTCTACCCTGCAAGAATTTTAATTTATCATCAATAACTAAAGCAATTCGAAGATTCTGCAGAGTGAACCTAGGATACGTTCAGTCACAAAACCAACAAGCTCTGGCCACATACGATTTGAAACTAATTCACGGTCACATCAGCATGTGGTGCTACAAATGCCATAAGATCCTAACAGGACACTGGAGCTGATCAAAGAGCAATGAAGAACAATACCTGTGCGATTTCAAACCCGCGTCCTTCTCCAAGTAGAATATTTTTTGCCGGGACACGTACATTCTCAAATAATACTTCTGCATGCCCATGAGGTGCATCATCAAAGCCAAAAACCGTAAGTGGTCTCTTTATGTGTACACCTGGAGTCTGGATATCCACTAAGATCATAGATTGCTGCTTATGCATGGAAGCATTGAAGTCGGTTTTCCCCTACATAGTATTCGATAACCTTTATTAATAAAATTAACAATGAATTGAACGAGTAATTAAATGGCATACAAGAACTAACCATGACTATAAGAACTCTACACCTCGGATCCATAGCGCCACTTGTCCACCATTTCTTTCCGTTGATGATGTACGAATCTCCTTCTCTGTACATGCAATTCAGAGCCAATATAAAATATTAAATATATATCTAGCGGAAACTTGAAGGAAATGGAATATAACACATCCAGTGATTGCAAATATCTGTGAAGAAGCTTGGATGAAATGTTGTGATTCGAGATGCATTTCCTGTATAATTTCATAAAAGCTGCTGTGTTGAATTCAATGATTTTGAGAAAGAGGACACTGCCATCACCATAGATGCTGCATAAACTCACCTTTTAATAGAACACTCGATATTGGTTGCATCAGAGGATGCAACTTGGGGTTCCGTCATTGCGAATCCTGACCGAATCTTCCCCTCAAGCAGAGGAACAAGCCATTCAAGTAGCTGCTCCTTGCTGCCATAGCGCAACAATACCTAATGCAAAAGTTAAGTGTAGAACAGATCAATATATATATATATATGCAAAAGGCCAGACATGTTTCACAAGAGAGTATATAAAGTTTAACCATTGCACTATTAAAATATGTTCATCTGCATATCATTAGACAAAGCAATCCCAAAAAAGAAAGCACTTATTAATCTTTCCCCAAATCATCCTCTAGACAATGACCTCATGAGGATCACGAGATGCTTTTCCAGATAGAAAAATGGCGGTACCGCTGGTTCATCATTCGTAAGCAGTTGGTAATCTAAAAACTTTCATACCTCCATATTTCCCGTGTCAGGTGCACCACAATTGAACACTTGTGGAGCCCAAACTGAACGACCCATGATCTCACAAAGATATCCATATTCAAGGTTTGAAAGACCTGCGCCAAATAAGCGATTGGAGGAATTCTCTGATAAAAGATGATTGCTTCCATCAAAAATTAATTTTCTGGCCCTGGCAGCACTGTCAAACTTCACACAAGTACAAGGATAGAAACCAATTATGTCCACTGGAAAGAAAATTATTCTGCATTATACAATAAACTAGTCTCCAAACTCAGAAAAATGAACAACAAACACATACAGGTATAAATAAGTTCCAGAGGCCTTCTTTCTTTGCTAGCTCCTTTAACCTCTCCTCCCCTGGATGAACCGTCCAACGTGAGCTAGACTCGGCAAGTTTGTTGAATTCTTGTTCCATGGGATAAATGTGATCTTCCATGAACTTTATCAACCTGTTTCTCAATTCTGAAACCCCTTTACTGGGGACAAACCTCCCTCCCCCTTTTGAAAATCCTTGATCATCACTCTCTTGTCCAAATCTTTTCAAGTAGTCTTGAGCAAGGGAAGCACCTTAGGCCACAATTTGGTATGTCAATACTCTTGCAAGTCATTATGTTTGAAAATTGAGAAAAATAATTGATCCATATACAGAAAACATGCATTTCAAGGAACACAAAATTGTTAGATGGCATAGCTACCTGACGGAGGATTCTTGGGAAGCACAGATTCTCGTCGAATAAATTTCCATGCATAGTCTATAATAAAATTAGCTCTGTCCCCAGCATGCTGGGCACTCTCTCCTCCAGAAGCATTACCCTGCATTGTAATGAACCTACCACTTAATCCTTTTTTCCATCATCCCTTGATGAAAGTGTTTTGCACTGAACTAAAATTCAATGTCAAACAATTGCTTCAGAAGTTACCATAATCCATCTACTATATATCCCTGCAAAAATTGATGCTCCTCGAAATAAGGAGAAGGCAACATAGAACTTCCACTCAGCAAAAGGCCATGGCTTTCCCTGCATTGCCGCATTTGCATTGTAACTGAATAGAATTCATCAAAAACAGAAAATAAACTACCCAAAAGAGCTATCTATCGGGCAAGTATCTGCATTAACACCCATCTATATTATTCTTAACGCCTTTGACAACTACTTATGCAGGCTAAAATTCTCATGGACATAAATTACCATAAAAAGAAAGTGTAAATTAGACTACGAAAATGACTTACTGATGAAGAACAGTATTCTGCTACATACTCTGCCTGATAAGGAATCCCTTCTGGAACCCCTGTGTGTTCCAAACCTTCACCAACTTCAGCCCCGATGTCCACGATGTAAGGCTGCAAAGGATTTAAAGTGGTAATTAAATTATTAAAGCGGAAAATGCCCATGATAATACATTATTCAACTATCCAGAAGCCAGACGGTTAAGTTTGAAACTTGGTCAACTACCAAACAGCTATAAGCAACGTCACACATTTGATTTCCAAGAGTAGATAATTCCCAGTCAAGAATGCCAATCACTCGATCCTGCACAGTAAGAGTTATTCAGAGAGAGTTTGTATTTTGTCACTGAACACAACTTTTGATGACTGAAATGCATAATCCTCAAAAGATTTGAGTCCAGATAAGAAGCAGACTGATTAGGAAAAGTTCTCTATATTTGACTTCAAGAACACAAACAAGCATGTATATGGGTATCTCCACTTAAGCACTCAAATGAATAAGGTCTCTCGAAGTACCAAACCTCAATAGGATGAAACACAAGATTATCAATGCGAAAGTCCCCATGAACTAAGCCTGCTGCTGCCCCAGAAGAATCTTCAAGAGGAATGTTCTGCTGTAACCAATCAATCAGCTCAAACATCTTCGGATTTCTCTTGGGCTTGCCCTCACCAGTTGAGGCAATATATTGCTTTGCCCACCTCTCTACCTAAGAAAAGCAAAAGCATAGGGTTCATAAGCCCCGCTAAGTTATAAGAAAAACTAATATTGACGTACAGCTCCTTTAGGCATATATTAGGTTCCAATACAACTATACAAGCATATTAAGTAAATTTTCGTCTATGATTCAGAAAACAACATTTATGCACCTGTCGTTTGCAATAGTTGTCACGACGCCCATATTTTCCTAGACTGATGGCATCAACATCAGCAGAATGTAGGGATGCTAGAGCTCTTGCAGTTGCTTGGTAAAGTACCCTCCTCCTCTCAGGTGCTACACCCTGATCAAAAGCAAATTTAACAAATTGTACTCAAATAGAAAAATTTAAATAGAGTAAAAAAAAAAAAAAACCAACCGGCACCAAATCTATAACACCAATTTAATACGAACAATAACCATAACTTGACAGAGTAAATTGGTACCGGAAGCTTGGGGTCGAGAAAAATGCGCCCTTCCAGAAACTCCATGATGTAAAAGGGGGTTCCGATGACACTTGAATCGGTACATAAACAGTAAACTTTTGGAACCGGAACCAATGTATGATTACCCAATGCCTGAAGAACCTGTAATTCCAAACAGAAAAGATAAAAAATCGAACCTTTGTCAGCGAACAGAAAATCATCTTAATAAATTGAGGGTGTAGTCAAATTAGGATTTCGTAGGATTTTAATAGAGTTTAAAATCTAGGGATAGTCAATCATGATTTTGAAAGAGGATTTTAAAAGACTTTGAAATTATGGTGTGGTCAAATTAGGATTTAAGAGGATTTTAAAGAATACATCCAAATCTAAGGGTAGTTGATTAGGATTTTAAAAAAGTCCACACAATTATAGGGGTAGTGAGAATACCAAAGATTTGCTAGGATTTTAATGGGAGAGGGATTTTGATGGATTTGAGGGTGGTGGTATAAATACCAAATGCCATCAAGAATCCAACCATTACCCCACTGATTTCTTTTCGTGGTATTGTCTTCCACCAGAGACACAACAGGGTTTGCCTTCTCCTTCTTTCTTCTGTTTGCAGACCAATCTTTCACCGAATTAGGGTTTGTTTTCTTCAGAGTTCGTTTTGGGATGTATTTTTTCTGAAAGTTTTTTAGAGGAGGAAGGTTGCATATATTCACAACCTGGGCGTGTTCTTACCCTCTTGATTTTTCAGTTCACTCTTTCTTCACAGTTTCTACTTTGATTATTCTTTTGGAATATGTCTGTTTTGTTTACCAAGACAATGTTTTTCTTTAATAAGAGAGAAAACTTGAATTTTTTGGGGTGAAGAAAAAATTTGAATTTACCAAACAATTTTTGGGTGGGTTAGACGCATGCAATTGAAAAAATATTGGGTTTTTTTATTTGGATTTGATTCAATTCGTGTATTTTGCCAATTATGTTTGTTTCTGTTTGATTAGAAAATGGAAAGACATTGTTTGTAATGTTGTGGCAATTTTTGACATGAATTTGATGTTGCTTAGATTTTGGGTTGATATGTGTAACTTATAATTTGAAATGGTGGAAGAACAAATTGGGAAGAAACCTATTAGCCACTTGTAACTTTGATGAAAATTCATGAAAGAAGTCTACACAAATCTTAAGAAATCCATAAAAAAATCCATACAAATCCATACAAATCTATAATAGAAATCCATATAAATTTACCAAAATCTGTATAGACTTGTAGAATCTATTAAAATCCTTTGAAATTTGTCACTTAAAAATGTCTATTAAAATCCTCTGAGATCCAAATTGACTACACCCGTTTAAATTTTGATAACAAAGGAACATCAGCCACACAAAATAAAGTATCTTCTTTTCCTACACTTTATCGGCAACCAAACAGAGCAGATAGAATTGCGAGTCAGAAAATAAACAAGAGGGAGAGCTGACCTGGAACTCTCTCTCGACGGCATGAGCAGACTGGAGCAACTTCCCTGGCGGCTTCTTCCTCAAAACGTAGCGTTTCAGCGATGCCCCCGACCCTGCCTCTATCTTATACGTCGGATTCGATTGCCCATGCCCGAACTATCATGTCGTAATTCGCAATCCCAAATCAAAATCCAGAAGGTACATACACAAACATATATATATATATATATAGATAGATAGAGAGAGAGAGAGAGAGAGAGAGAGAGAGAGAGAGATGGAGAACCTTAGAGACTGTGAAATCGGAGGGAGAGGGAGGGAAGCCAAGAACGTTGGCGGAGGCGTAGGATAGCAAGGAGTTGAGGTCGAAATCGAGAGGCGCACGACGATGATCCATTTCGAACGAAGTTCAGGCCTTCGAATTAAACGGTGTCGTCTCGTTCTTCTTCTTCTTCTTCTTCTTCTTCTGCAGCTTCTGCTCTTAATCGTTTGAGCAGGTGTCATTTACCTCGAAAACATCACCCATAATTACATCAGAGGATCAAGCATACGCTCTCGAGTAGGGAAACAAAGGTACTCGCGTGGGTTTTCGAGGATTTCTGCGATTTTACAGGACGTCTCGATTTTAGGCTTTAGCGGTCTCGTTAGCGCGTAGGGAAGAAACCCGAGGGAGAAGAGGATGTACCGATTCGGTACTTTACGTTGGAGACTGGACATGATGGCTACTTTTTGGGCTGTTCCGTCTGTCCCTGTCCACTTCATGTTTTGTCATAACAGGCAATACATTTAGAATCAACAAATTTTTCTTATTTTAGTTCTAAAATTAGGAGCATTATTATTACTGGTCAATAAAGATATCTATCAATAAAAAAATATCTTAAAATAAAAAAGATGGGGAGGGGAAAATACAATTATTATTTGGTCGAGATGATATAATATTTACACGTATTTTGTACAATTATTATTTGATTGTTGAAATGATAATTGTATTAAAAACATGCATTATAACAAAATACTAATTTTTTAATTAGAAATATGTTTCTACTCTCTTTCTAGGTCGTTTGAGATTGTTTTTATAAATAGCACTTCAAACAGTTTTAACAATGTAACCACTTTCGCGATCTAGAAGCATCTATTCAAAAAGCACTTTCATGACCTGGAAGCATTTTAAATTCTTAGCTTTAAGCAACACATTCAAGAAAGTGAAATATGTGATTAAGATTCACAGTCTCACAAAATAAGCATTTTATATTATTGGAAACAATGTTTTCCATACACACAATTTTTTATCCTTTAATCAATCCCGGAACAACTTCGTTTTAGACACAAACATGAATGCATATCACCAGCTATTTTCCCAACTCTCTCACCCTTTCACATAGAGTGAGGCCTCAATGAGGGAGTTTCGAAATCTCATGAGTCCTCCATCATCTGTGAGTCGGAAAAAGAGTAATGCTCGGATATTAAATGTGTCAAACTACGTGAGGGAATGAAACTTCAGAGGTCCATAAACTCAAGAGATTCAGTACCATAATATCAACTTATTAAAGGTAGAGCACGAAGCTTGGGGATTTAACACACACTACAAAGGTCCACGGGAAATTACAACATCTTAAACCAAACGAGAAGAAATAACAACATGGTCCTGTCCATAGCAGTTAGACAGGATCGCCAACACCAGAAATTCAAGTGCATACTTAAGCGGTAACAAGCTGACTGACAGCTTCATCGGCATGTATAACAGTTCAATGCTGCTCGTCAACAGCCAGCGGAATGGACTTCACCTGAAAGATGATCACAATGCACGGTCAGCAGCATTTCAAGGAGAGAGACCTCTACCATTTCAATTCAATCAACTCTCTTCAACTATATAAGGGTTGAATGTGCAAGGTGCAGTCACTAACCAATTCATAATACGATTAGTTTTTTCCGTTCTATTATTAAATAAAACCAATTCATGAACTATACGGAATCTATGGAATGCAAGTGCCATTTGTGCATGAAGTAATACGAGGAAGGATATTATATGATTACTAACCAGATTCCGGTACTTGAGAGTGTAAAACATCTCCAGATATCGCCTTGTCCCTCGCCTCTCAAGCTTAGACACATGCTTCCAGAAGCCATAAACCCCAGCTAATGTGAGCAGCCTCTCTGAATATATCTTCCATGTGTACCTACAGAATTGAGCTTGAGTTTAGTGCACTGAGGTTGACAAAGATTGAATTTTCAAAAGTCTGCCAGAAAGTATGAAACCTTTGATAAATTCGTTTAAGCCCAGCTTGAGATATCTTTTCCCAGTAGCCAGGATCCTTCTGGCACTGATCAAAGAAGTCAATCAGGAGTTCAGCCACTTGATCAGGGTTATAGGGATCAACATGGAACCCTGAGGTACCGTGCTCAATGATCGCAGCTGGGCCACCATGACAAGTTGCAAAAGTAGGAAGGCCACAAGTCATGGCTTCCACAACGGTGAGGCCAAAAGCTTCATAGAAAGCAGGCTGCAGTGAATAAGAAGATAGGGTAAAACATGGAATTTTGATACTAAAATAAAACCATTATATATCTACTTCACATACCTGCACAAAGACGCCTTTTGTGTCTGCAATGTAGTGGTAGAGCTCACCATTACGAGCACGGTTCATCTGTGCTGCTATCCATCGGAACTGGCCACTCAAGTTGTATTTCTTAATGAGGTCATGCATCTTTTCAATCTCTGTAATTTCTTCTCTATCCCTAGAGTTCTTGACATCCATGTAACCACCAACCACAACAAGGTTTACCTTTTCTCTTAACTTGGTGCTCTTAGCATAGCACTCAACAAGTCCAGTTAAATTTTTCACTCTATCAAGTCTTGCCATGGAAAAGACAATAGGCTTTGATCGATCACTCAACAGCCCACTGCATCACCATCAAACGAGTATCAGACAATTGAGTGATGAAAATGAAGTACATGTAAGTTGCAACCCTAATACCTATAAAATCTCAATGCCACTCGAAAAGGTTTTAATTGTTTTACAGAAGTTCTTTTCTTACTTAACATTAGAAGATACTCACATATGCTCGTCATTCTGCCCAGCACCATATAAGAGTTCTTCAATGGACCCATGTAGAGCAGTAAGCCTTTTGTCCTTGTCAGAATATGGAAAGTATATACACATATCTGCTCCTGGGAGACGATATTAAACTTGGGATCAAAAACATCAATCCCGTGAACTACTCGATACAGCCCTGGAAGAGTGAAGGCAGTGTGGCTCTCATACTGTCCAACGTTATTCTTGCTGAGATAAAGAACAAGAATATTAATCTTTTAATGCAACAAGAAAAAGTGACTAGAATCCAGGGAGAAGGATAATGGGCCACATGCTGCAAATGATGCAATCCACTTTATTGTGACAGACAAGTCTTTGAACTTGTTAACCACAAACATAACTCATATCATATTACTACATTTCAAGTTAAACTTCAGGTAATAGATTAAAAATTTGGAGATTAGACAGAACTAGACGAAAAAAATATGGTCAATTCATGTTCCAAAAGAACTAGACTGAAATTCTAACCTTCCGGCAGTCTCTTGGTATGTACTGGTTATTATGAAATCTGCATTGTTCATTGCAATGAGATCGGCTGTGAATTGACTTGAAAAATGGTACTTATCTTCATGCTTCTTCCAAAATATATCAGAATCTGGGTACTTTGTTTTCTCCAATGCATGAGCAATGTTGCACTACATGGAGAATTCAGTTTTGAAAAGTTAACTCCAATATATGCCACTGTTTTTCCACCAATCTTTGTGTTGCATCTGAAATAATGAATAAAAAATTAAAGTTCACCTGTGTGATTCCCAGTTTATAAGATAGCAGAGTTGCAACAAGATTTCCATCACTGTAGTTTCCAATGATTAGATCTGGAACACCCTGCAACTCAGCAGCAATTTCATTCGAGGCATCCTAAAAATAGCACAGTAAGAGGAAACGGTAAGTATGTTATAAACCGCAAGTAGTTATTATGAACCCACAGCGTGCATCATAAAGTTATGGCTATTCAGTATTCAAGCAGTGAAAAAGGGTACGGAAAAGGAATAAGGTAGATCCACACCAAAAATGAAAATGAAAAGTCCTATCCTTTTGACTTACCTCTGCAAAGTTCTCCAAGTAAGGCCACACATCAAATCTTGAAATCCATTTCCGCAGAATTCCATTCTCAGTCCTGAAAGGTACCCGCAAGATATGTGTGTGTTCTGTACCACTGACTCTTTCCAATCTTTGATTGCATGTTGTCCCTTTTGCATCAGGTATCAGTCGGGTAACCTGCCATCATCAAGTAAAAGGACATGACGTAGTATAAAATGGTACACACCACCTAATGTCGACTAACGTCGCATGAACTTCCATTCAAGAACTTACAATCAGAATTTTTGGAATAACATCCAATCCTTGGTTTTGTATTCTAAGAAGCGTCTCACTCTCCAAGGCACGCACTTGGTCCAGTATATAAACAACCTGCCATCAGTAAGAAAAGATATAACCTTTTCATGGTTTTATGACAAAAAGATTCGTAAAACTACTGGATCTGTTAATAGTTTATATAAAAATATAGGAAAGGAAAGACCCACAACAAACAAGTGGATATGAAATAGTCAAAAGTACATCAGCAATACCTGCCCTCCAGTGTCAGGCAAACCCAAGACGTTAGCTTGGCCAAAGTAGCTGTGTGGAGACACTATGACAACATTGAACACCATAGGGATCCTCCCAAGAAAGTTTTCCAGGGTAGAGGGATCAGGAGCCTGAAGAATTTCCAGGAGAAGATGCACCATCTCTGACACCCGTTGTGCTGTGTCACCCCACCCTCTCTCAAATCCCATTCCTTGTAAGCTGCACATTGTGTAAAGATGATTAAATGTGCCATCTAAAGCAATCAAATTATCCCTTTAAAGGAGTGGAGATCGAAGTGTTGAAATTAGATGATTTGCTTACTCAAATTCAAACTCAGAATATGGTGTAGTTGACGGGAACTTAGAAAGATATTCCTCTGCCTTTGCTAAAGCAGACTGAAGTCTGGGTATGCTCTGAATCCGATCGTTTAGCATCATTGCCTACAAAATTTTAGAACTAATATCATTCAGTCCAAAGGTACGAGTGCTTCACAACCTCATTGTCATATTACTTCAAATATGGCTTTATGTGGCTTTAGGTTAAGGAAAATATAAAAACCAAAAACTTACACTAAACCTGAATGCAAGAGAAAAGACGACTGGTAAATTAAACTAAAGGGAAATGCATGATAACTGAAAAAGTGGAATGCTCATTCATGCAAAGCCCACAGCTTACTCAAACTTACATGGCCATCATGTTTGTGTGTACGAAGAAAGTCAAGAAGAGGCTCCAAACTTTCTTTGTTACGGAACATAATTGAAGATAAATGACGGTTAAGGAATTGAACCCCATTTCCAATTGATGAAGAACGGGTTGGTCGAGGGAATGATGCATTAAATGGCTCCAGATCAAGTTCAAGCACATACTTATCGTTGCACCTAGGACAATGATTTCAGATTGAGAATGCATTCATGTATAATGGAATTCAAAGAACAATAAAAACTGTCTAGGCCGCTCTATGTAATGCTACTCCAGAATCCAGATAAGAAAGTAGAAAGACTCGACACAAATTACAAATTCA